AAACCCCCCCAAAAAAACAAGTAATCCACATCAACCATGTTTAATTTACAATTTAACCTAATATCCTGTATGTAGTAATATATATAACCTAATCCAAACTGTGTGTGTGTGTGTGTGTGTGTGTGTGTGTGTCACACAGGACAAAATATATGCTGAGAATAGGCTCAAGACCCCCTATACAAACAGCCAAGGTGAACCCCACCAACATGTCAATAGGCTTGGTGAAGATTTTAAGTTCTCCACCTGGTCTCCAAGAAGAGTCACTGCAGGGCCGAGCCACGGTGAGACACGTTTCACAATGTGAAAGTGTGAAGTGTGTGACATTCATACAAAGTGTGCTGCCTCAGTGTGAAGCCTGATGCCATTTATCAGCACATAGGTAATAAAGTTAAACTCAAGTATAGACTGTTTTGTCTTTCCTCTTTTCCCCCCTCAGATGACTCTGAGGGAAAGACAAACACTGCTACTTTTCCAAAGAAATCATCCCTCGTGCGACAAATAAGAGCGGTCAGATCGAAGGTAAGAGCTGATGCGTCTTCAGTTTGACCAGAAAGCAAAAGTATCCATTTTTAAAATCTTTAAAAAGTAGATTCTACTGTTGCAATCTTGTCTGCAAACACTTTAAAAAAGCGCACTTACAGATTCCTCTTATTAATTCCATAGAAATGAAGAAGGTAAGTAGCAGTCAGAAGCTGCTAATCAAAGCTTCTGGCTGCTACTTACCTGATCATCAGCAAGAGTGAGCAACTCCATGTAATCAGAATTTATCTCAGTTTGCTGGTCTGCAGGATTCAGGTGTGTTATAGCACAATGCCACAATCTTCCCAGGAGTGGACGTCCAGCGTGGACTCCTGGCAGCTCAGTTTAGGTTTGCAAAGATGTATCTAAACAAACCACAAGACTTCTGGGACACCAAAATTGAGATGTTTGGCCGTAATGCAGAGCACCAGAAAACCAAACAGAGCATATAATCGTAAACACCTCATACCAACTGCCAGCACGGTGAAGGAGGGATGAGGAGTTTGGCATCTTGCACTCATTGATTCTACCATGAACTATTCTAAGGTGAAATGTAAGGCCGTCTCTCTGGCAGCTAATGTTTGGCTCAAACTGGGTCCTGTAACTGGACAATGATCCGAGGCACAGCAGGAGATCCAAACCTCAACTTGGCCAAAGAGCTGTGGAGACAAATTAAGAAAAAGCTGTGTATAAAAAAAATACTCCCCCTCAAAAAACCTCAATGAACTGAGGCAATGTTGTAGAGAAGAGTGGGCTAAAATTGCTCCACAACAACGTGAGAGACTGATAAAGTCATGCAGAGACTGATTACTTCAAGTTATTGCCGCTAAAGATGGTTCAAGTAGTTAAATGAAGAGGTGTAGTCAGGTTTTTTTTTTTATAGAGGTGCACTTTCTCTATCACATGACTACAACTTTTGCCCTCTATCATGACAAAAGACATTTAACAGATAAGATTTATTATTTAAATCATTTTTGTGCATCTCTTCATTCCTCAGAGTTTAAAAGAGGGCCTTTCTGTCCAAGAAAGGATGAAGCTGTTCGAGTCATTCTGATCCAGAGAAGATGACCAGCTGACATCTGCACTTCAGAGCTTTTCAGAAATCTGTTTTATTATAACCTTTTTGTGTGTTGAATGATCAGAACAGGACACTAGAGGGCGCAACAAACACAGGTCATTTTACACATGCATTCAGTGCATTACACAGAGGTTTTGTAACTTATAGACAAACTGTATTTTTATTGAAACACAGCTCACATAAGCGTATTGGATCACTTGTATTTGACATTATAGGCCACATAACGCAACATTTACCCTTCCAGCAGAGGAAATACATTCCTGAAAGAGAAGAGATGCTACTGTACTTTTATTACCTTCATATTTATTCGAAACAGCTGCTTTATGACTTCAAATAAATGAGCTTTCAAGTAAAACAAGGTTGGTCAAAAATAATGTGGATCTCTGTTTTCTTATTTTTTAAACAACCATTAACTAAAGTCAGTGTTTCTGTGCTTGTTTTGATTTTTCCTACAAACAAAATAACACTGACTGGATTTCACACAATGTACACAATCTTACGCTTTCAGGAAGAAAAAGGGACTTTAAAATCATAATTACCCTGCAAAAGGAAGAAAAACAGTTTAGAATGGGGTAATATCATTTAACATAAACTCTGGTAATGAAAGGAGGAAAGGAAAGCATGGTTTCCTTGTATGATCTGTTAAACAGTACACCAAAGCACAGTGTTTACACCTTACTATAATTTGTTGCTTATATATTGCTTAGATCTTATGTGTCTCCTTGTCTATCTGACTTACCTTTTGTGACAGCGACACATCATCTATTTTTGTGTCTCACTGTGTTATGACAGCTGAACTAAAACTATTAGTCACTTATAATCAGTGAATTTGTTGATTTTATCAGTGATTTATTAAATTGTTTGATCAATCAGAAAAAAGAAAATGATGGCCTTAGACAGACAAATTAAAACAAGTGGAGAGCAATAAAGATTTACTTATATTTAACTGATGTAAAGTACAGCCCAATTTTTTTTTTTTAAAAAAGCAAGAAAATTGTGTAAAATGTGATTAAAAACAGAATGCAGAGATTCTCTGTACTGATGATGACATATTCACAGTCATTGTAATCTTACATTGAGACACATTATTCTGAAAAGGTTCCATAATTTGTAGACGTAGGGTTTTTTTTTTTGCAGTTTAATGAAACTCTGCCTCTCTTAAGACGGTCTTTTTTATACCCAATCACTAATTTAACCTAATGATCCTCAAACTTCCTCATACTGCTGAATTTTTTTTTTACCACCACTTAATTTTCCAGCCGATTTTCCCTGTCCTGTCACAACATTTTAGAGACGTGTTATTACCATCGAATTAAAAATTACCCACTTAAACATTTAAACTTCTAATGTTTTTATGAGATTTCATTTCATTATGTTTTTATTTACGTTCTTACACACAGTGTCCAAACCTAAACAGAAACCATTAGAGGCGTCTGACCTCAGCATGTAAAATGTGACTCTAGTGATCTTATAATGTTACCTGGAAACTGCCCCTTGAGGACAAATGACGCAAAAAAATAAAGTTAACTGAACTCATTTTACATTGAGGCCCACATACAGACCACTTTACACTTAAGTGGACCGGATGAGTGAAATTCCACTTCCTGTCAGTGAAAAGACATTTAACTACATATTCAATAAATTATGATGTCCTAATATAAGATAAAGAAGTATAATTTCAACAGCATGTCTCAGTTTTTCCGCATGATAAATGTTTGAAACACAGAAAACATTCTGGTCGCTCAATGGCCAGACTCTTCCATGTTTATAAAACATAAAGTTTTAGTTGATTGATGTTTTTTTTTTCTTTTTTCTAAACAAAATTTAGTATACAATGAAAAAAAGGAACTTTTGTGTCATTTAATTGTTTATCTGTTGATTAACTATTTCGATGTAGTGTGAATGACTGAGGGGAAGCTAAGTATCAGAAGAAAAAGCTGTAAAACTTGTAAAAATAAATTTAAAAGTCCAAAAATTTATGCCCTCCTTTATATTTTCCAATTTATGCCTTTGCTGGGCTACCTCTGCCCCTCGGGATTTATATTTGACGCCCCTGCTAGTCTGGATCAGGCAACATACCGGTAGCATACATTACTCCAGAACAAAAAAAATCTTTCCAAAGCATAAAAAAGTTGACTAGACTTTATGTTTATGCAGAAATGTTCATTTAACTACTCACAGGACATCCGGTGTGTAGATATAGCCGAGCTGTTAGGGTTACAGTTTGATCCTGATGCTGCACAGCTCAGGATCAAACTGTGTGTCTCTTCCAAGGTAGAAACAGTCTTCTAATTACTTCTAAAATAACTGTCTTACTAAACAGACTTGGTTCATATTACTCAAACACAGCTCAGATAGCTCCCGAAGATTTATGTATGCTAAAATGTATTTATTAATTAATTAGTGTAATCAGCAGAGCATTTCTAAGGGCTTTTTAAAACATGTTTTTAAGCTTTATTTTTGGGAAACACTGACCCACATCTCCAGAGATCACATTTCTGTCTATGTCACAGCTCTCAGTGCTTTTGCAGAGCACATAACTTTGAAGGTACCCTGTTCTTTGGAGTCGCATTTCCAAAAAGGAACATCGCACCTCATTAAAACCCAACACCCATCTTTCCTTCCCTGTGACTGCCTGTGAAACTCCAGTCATGGTAGTTGACACTTTGAAATACCAAAGCTGATTCTTTGTGTTATGCATCATGGATGTAATTTGTAAGCTGGTGTGTGAAAATCCATGTTCGTTTTATTTTTGGACACAAAGTAAGATTTTGCGTCCTAAAGTGACAAATATGCTTTCTTACTGAAAAGTTAAGTATTTGCTGCAACTCTCATGTGGCATTTCAGCAAGTGCTGTTGGCAAAACTGATGGAATTGAATGCAGAAAAGTACCATCAGATAAACATTAACTGAATTTCTTTGTAATTTAAGCATTTTATTCCAGATCTTAATGCCCCGTTTCTTTTTGTATCAGCAGGGTGACAGAGTTCCTGGTATATATAATTTTTGAGTTTATATTGCTGCATTAATTAAAGCTCGTAAAGTAGATGATTCATGACAGTCCTCTAAATACTTCTACATCTACTCAGTTTTCTTCTTTCGGCTGCCGAAGGAGATGATCTCCATGTTCTCCATCACTGTGGTCATCCTCTTTTCCTCCTGCTCTTTTCCTCTCCACGTGTCCAAACCACCTCGGCTTTGTCCCTCGAACTTTCTCTCCAAAGGGCTGAACCTGAGCTGTCCCTTTGATGCATTCATTCCTAATCTTCTCCATCCTCATCATTCAGAACAGTTACTAGACACGCAGTGTCAACCAAGAACTGAATTTAAATACAAAACCTGTTTAGAAATCATTCTTCATGGCAATAAAACCATTACCATGTACTTTTTTAAAATGATCCTCTCTTCAAATAACTATGTAAAATGTATTCAAATTGCTACATCAGAGTAATAGTGACTGGAAAACATAAAGTTTCCTCACTGTATTTGTGTGTGTGTGTTTTCATGTGCACCTGCATGGTTTGTTCTTAGTCCTGCCCCACAAACTCACCAGGCCCTCATGACTGATCAGCAACTGGTGAAGAAACACCAGTACACAGGTGCACCTGCTCGAGCTGTAAAAATAAGTGGCCCATTTAGCCATGCAAAGATCAATTACCGCAACTGGCTCGGAGACCTGCACAGTCCGCTTCTCCAGTGATACACTTCAGTGCTGCTGACGGGACCACGGCTTTGATTATTTGTGCGACGGGAGCCCAAGTTTGTGTTCTCAAATCGGCACAGAGCTGCGCAAACTTCATATCCACTTTGATTTGAACCACACTGTTATAAAATCAGGTCTAGAGGAGTGTGACCTACATGCAACTTAACTCAAACTCGTCAGCGTTTCCATGACAATGGATAAATCCTTCGTCGTTCACCTGAGCATACCAGCCTTGGGACCAGGGGTGGTGATGCGGCTGATGGGTGTTTGTGCTGTAAGGAAAATATACCAAGAACAAACTAAACGAGTTTGGTTCATGAGATCTGTTTGTGATTTGACAGACCAGACCGTGGTTTATTTATTTATTTTATATCTAATGACTGATGGAAATAATGTGATTTAAAAAAATCCACACTCTTTCATTATTCACTTGTATAGGGCAGAATAAGGGAAACAAAGATTTAATTAGGCTTTTGACTGAGTACAGTAAAGAGTGACCTGGATTCAACCTCCAGTGTGGAGCTATCATTGCCTCTATGTGTTACTGGAACTGAGAGTGCTTTATTATTATGTTCATTATGCAGGTCTGAAGCATATTCACTAACTGGAACAGGGAGGTTGGAGAACAGCTACTTTCATGTATCTTGTGTATGTTCAGCTTTTTGTTTCTGTCAGTTGGGTGAACAACGCCTCTCTTCCCCACTCACGAACAGTTTGTGTTGGCTGCCAACAGATATTTTGTACTGCATCTCATCCTTCATGTTTGCTCTCTCTCTTCCTTGATCACTGCTGCATGAAACAAGCTTGTCTTGGAGCTTTGCAAAGTTTACACCCTAACTACTCTGACTTCGTTTCCCCCTGCTGTTTTTAACAAGGAGCACATTACAAGCTACCACCAGTACAGCAGTATAGAGTATTGCTGGGTTATTACTGCGTAATAGCAGTAATAGTTTTGTTTAACGGAGCTTGAGTAAAAACCGTGTGCCCTTATCCACACAGGGATAACCACAACATGGTGAAACACCTGAAATGAAAGTGTAGTGTGCTGATCAGCATTGAGCTGAGAATCTTAAAGGTGATCAAACACTTGTATGTTTATCAGTGCAGTCGAGCCTGGCCCACTTTATCCTGCTGCAGAGAAGGGCCCTTTAAATAACTCGCTGGGTATGAAGTATAGGCCGGGCACTGGACACACTTTGTCCTGATAGCACACTCCACATCCCCATCTGGGGCCGCCATCCCCTAACTGAACCCATAACCTATTTACAGGTCTGACATCATAGTAAGACTTCATAGTGTACATGTACAGTAATAATTATGAGCACTTAGAGAGCTAAGATCTGTAGTGCTTGTGTTTGTCTGTAGTCTGGCCAATTCTTCATGAATGTTGTTTTTTTTGTGTGCATTATCTTGTATGCGAGGCAGTGAATCACATGCAAGATGCTTGCACCCAAAACAGATCCAGTGGGACTAACACTCACAAAGGTCAAATATTATTTCCTATTATATTTAGAAAACTGATACCGAAGCCATCTCGCCTTAGCTTCCTTGCAGGCCATCATAGTGGCTCGTTGCACGTAAACCTTCCACCGATCCCTCTGCTCTGTGACGTTCTCCAGTGAACCTGGGTTAGGCTAGCACTGGAAAGATAATCCTGTTTTTGTCTTGTTTGAGAATTGCAAAGTGCTGGAC